AAAACAATGGTGAGCAAACAGTAAGAGATTCAAGTTCTGTGTACCATTTATTTTATTAAAAAATTATTATCATTTTTGAGACAGTCTTGCTCTGTCACCCAGGCTGGAGTGCAGTGACATGATCTCGGCTCCCTGCAACCTCCTCCTCCCAGGTTCAGGCGATTCTCCTGCCTCAGACTCCCAAGTAGCAGGGATGTCAGGTGTGCACTACCAGGCCCAGCTAATTTTTATATTTTTAGCAGAGATGGAGTTTCACCATGTTGGCCAGGCTGGCCTTAAACTCCTGGCTTCAAGTGATCCTCTCACCTCGACCTCCCAAAGTGCTGGGATTATAGGCATGAGCCACTGTGCCTGGCCAGTGTACCATTTGTGTAAAGTTTGAAAACATGGAAAGCAAAAATACACGTTGTTAATGAGCACATACATATGTAGTGAAATTATACAGTCATGCATGGAATGAGAAGCACCACACTGAGGACAATGGTTACCCATGAAGAATGAGATAATAAAATTCGGGAGGGGTCTTGGAAGGCTTTAACTATATTTGTAATATTTATCTACTTTAAAAATTTGAATTAAAAAAAAAACCTAGTTAAGTTCTGCTTAAGCTGGACAAAAGAATATGGCAAGAAAAGAAGTCCAATAAAAATGATAGTGACAAAAGAAATTAAAACTCTCTGCATGAATAGTAATAGTAATAAATACCAATGAATAGAAACATTAATTCACATAATAGAATACCACAACTGAAAATGAATTAAGCCTTTGGACAATGACCCCTAACCCTTTGCTCACGTTGTCTATATGGACAGTGCCTGGTTATGAGGAGCTGGGTTCCAATTGTTCACTGGTGATTGATTGCTAGGTGCTTACCATGGGTTTTCTTACAGCAACAGTTAAGCACATTGCCTAAATGCCTAGACTAGGCCCATCTGCGCAGCTCACGGAACTCTATTAACTTTACAACCTGCCTAACCAATGGTAAGAAATCAGCAAGGTTGAGAGGTAGTTCATTGGGAAAGTTTGTTCTGAATTAGAGAGCCAGGAACATACCCTCTCTCTGGCAGACCTGGTCTGATCCTTCCTCTACTTTCCTTTCCAGCCTCTTATTAGGATAGGAGATTCTCATATGCCTGAACCAATTGAGGTTGGCTAGGGTAGAATCCCTCTCCGATAGGATAGCCTGGGGTAGGTGGATGGTTGGGGAATTAGGGGTCAGGAGATATAGAGATCTGGGAGGCGCCAAACCTCCCAGCCCAAATCCCTGATTTGGAATAATTCTTTATTTTTTTTTTTCCCCAAACAGAGTTTTGCTGTCATCCAGTTGATCTTAGTCAGCTCACTGCAACCTTTGACTCCAAGGTTCAAGGATTCTTGTGACTCAGCCTCCTGTGTAGCTGGGATTATGGGCACATGCCACAGTGCCTGGATAATTTTTGTATTTTTTTATAGAGACGAGGTTTCACTATGTTGCTCAGGCTGGTCTTGAACTCTTGACCTCAAGCGTTCTGCCTGCCTCGGCATCCCAAAGTGCTGGGATTACAGGTGTGAGCCGCTGCACCTGGGCTAGTTGGAATAACTCTTGCTTCTCGATCAGCTTTGGAGTCATCTCTCACAGATTTTCTGCTAAGACTTCTTTTATCTCCTTGTTTACTGCTACATGGTTTCTAACCTGACTTATCTCTTCTGTTCCACTGTGGAAAAAGCCATTGTGCCATGGAGCCTCCTAGAGCCTGCAACACAGTAGATGCTCGTGACACAGTAGTTGCTGGTGACTCTGTAATTTCCTTCTGGATGGGGCTGAGGGTTTGGTTTGAAAGAAAGATTGAAGATGTGTTTATATACATTTTACACAGGATGAAAGCTACATTAGTTGTCCTTCCCTACCCGTCTCAACAAGTGCTCGTTCTCCTTCCCCCACTTCCATGCTTCTCAGCATCTGAAATGAGCACTCAGCTTGGGGATTTGGCAAAGAAGGCAAAGACTAAAAATAAAAAGCAAAGGAGAATTAAGAATTTCAAGCATTCTCTAAGAGCCTCCACTAACTGTTGGTTCTGATATTCATTGAAACATACATCCAGCTCATTAAAAGCACATTTGAATTGTAAGCTTTTTTAAACAAGAATAACATATTTAAAAAGACTTCTCATCATTCCAACCCAAGTGCTCTTGTTTTTTGGGCATTCTTTTTCAGTTCTTGTTACATTGATATGTTTCAACAGCTATAGATTATAGGCACGTATACTTTTTCTCTTTGTATTCTCTATGCTCCTACCTATTGTCACACTTATTATTTTTTTCATATCTGGTTCTTTTTTTGAAAACTAACACCTCAACAATCACATCTCTTCGTGTCACACAGTCATCCATGTGAATGGTACAAATATCAGTAGTCTGAAGGACAACACAATTGTTGCAAAAATATAAGGTCCTCACTTATCCATGGGTTGGTCCTTTTTTAGCTTTGTGCTGGTTTCCTGTAGTCTTCCATTGCATTTAGGCACTAGCTCATTTGTCTACATTTCAGAATGCCAGCATAAAGGCAAAATAAAGGTAAAGCAACAACAATAACAAAAAGGACAGGAAAGAACAACAACAAAAAAATGTTGTGGCATTTCTTAGCTGTTTAGCGTCTGACTCCCCTTTTGGTGTTTGGGGAATCCTTCACCTCATGAGTCTCAGTGGGAGACTCAGGCTCTGCTCATTCTTAAAGTTGAAAATGTCAGGAACTTGCTTTCCCTACCTTCTTTGCAGTTAAGCACAACACACTCCACCCCAGAGCCACAGAGACATGGAGGATGCACTCTCTGGCAACAGTGAAGGATGTACTCTCTAGCAGTAGTGGTGGGAATGCCAGTGGTCACACTTATTTTTTAATGCCTGGCAATATTCTGTCAGTGGCTATCAATGGAGTAGAGAACATATGTTCTGGAGTTCTAACTCAGGAAGAACACCGAGACTTCAGAGGGTTGATTCAAGAATTAAAGGTCACAATAGATGTAGCATATTTACAATAGTATCTAGACAACATAAAGACTGACTAAATGTTGGCTATTATCTACAACTGTATCAACTCAATTAACTTCATCTTCCTTCTTTACAATGTAAGAATAACTTCTGGTGGGGAGCGCATAGGGTGAGGGCTAAAGTAGGGTCTCTGGGATGAGGCACTTGGAGAGGTGCCAGGGCCATTTACTAATGCTACAGCAGATATTTTTTAAGCACTCCCTATTTTCTTTCTTTCTTTTCTTTTTTTTTTTTTTTTGAGCCAGTTTAGCACTAGACACTGAGCAAGCCTCCTGGTCCCTGAAGATATAAAAAATGAATGACATTTCCTGCTCTCAAGTTGCTCACTGTGTAGTCAGGAAGATGTAAAATGAGGAAACGCCACATGGGAAGAGTGTTCATCCCAGGAGGTCAGGGAGGAGCAAGACCCACACTGGGCTGATGCTCACACTGACCTGGGTAGGGTTCCTACTAGGAATTGGTCAACTTTTTAGGCAATGACACTAGAAAAAAATGCCTAGAAACCAGATCATGAAGCAGGTTGTATGCAGTCATAAGGAGGACCCCTCTGCCCTCAACAGGTGATTTGAGAAGTTATAAAGCATAGAAGGGACAGAAGAAATGAGTAATGAAGGTCAACTCTTTATTCCTGTCTCACATTTGTTTCCTTCTCTGCTGCCTCGGCAGATTGGGCCCTCAGTAGCACAAGAGTTATAGTTGGGGAAGAGGAGGAGAGAGGAAAGACAGGAGCAAGAAATTCTAGATAATGACATTGAAGAGGAAAGGGAAGTTTTTGGAGCCCACTGGCTGGGGCAGTCATTTGTATTTAAGAGATGTATGTAATTTAGGCTTCTAAAAGCCAGAGACTGCCCTAGAAAATAAATTTCCCATGCTATGCAGCAATTCATCCGTACCAAACTTCATCTCCTAGTTATTTATGAGTTTGCATAACTTGAGTAAGTGCCAGGCAAGTTTTTCTGAGTTTGGTTCTTCATCTGATACGTTTATTTTTGAACATTTTCTAAAGTAACTTTTAACCAAGTTAAAAATTAGATCCTCACACTGAAAGATGAAGAGTATTAATGTTTGGGAGTAAATAAAACAGGTCATTCCAATAACCCCCAATCTGAAAGAAACTTTTCTCTCAATTATGAGGCAATTAAGCAAAGTGAGGTGGTGTTTTGACGTGAGATATATGAATAACTGAGACTGTAAAGCTAGCAGATGGCATATCAACATATCAAGTTTGTGAGGTACTTCTGTGAAGCGAAAAAATATGTACAGTTCCAAAAAATATTGAGGTTGACCTAAATACGTTTGCTTATGCTATATGAGTACAAGGCTAACTATGCAACGTTGTTTAAGTGATGACTAGGATACTATTTAAACATCTGAGAGAACAAGTTGATTCCTTTAGCAATTTTTTTTGAGCAGTCCTTTCAATAAGTACCTTAGAAGTTATATGAAGACTTGATTTCAACTCTAAGAATAAACTACATAATGTTTCAAATCTAATTTTATCTAGAAGATCCTAGATGTCATGGTACAGTTTAGTTTTAGAACAAGAAATAGTAATTAAAATCAATAAGAAATAGTAATTAAATTAGAAACATCTGGAGGGAGATCATTCAAAAACTTCATATGAGAGAAACTTTAAGAGGCAAATAACATGAACAGTGATTTCATCAAAATGAGGTGTAAAAAATAAACAGATGGGGACCTTGAAGAAAAAAGTGGTATAAAATATCTAATGTTTTTCTTCCAAATAATTTCCAAAAATAATCAAACCTATAAAAGTTATATAATGTGCAATTAGTAATGTTTTATTGTATCTCCTTGAGTTATTCTTTCCCTTTTAAAAATATCTTTGCCTGTGGCCGTATATAAAGAATTAGGAGACCTGTGCTTCTCAAAGCCAGCAAGGGCGAGGGAGGACAGACCAGGTAAGCAGTCGTGAGCAATTACGGTTGTGTTCAGCAGCATGGAAGAGAAACCTGGCTTCCTAGGCTAATACGAGGAAGGTGGATATTTTCCTCATGTGACATGAACCCAGAGTGGGCCAGGCCAGGGCAGATGGCATCTGAGGTCCCTGAAGGCCTGGGGTCCTTTCTGCCTCTCCACAGTCATAGAAACTCAACTATGTGTTTATGCTCCAGGCATGAAGTAGTAGGATGAGAGGCAGAGACCTGCAGAGCTGGTGCCTTTTTCAAAAGATTTCCTGGAAGCTCCACCCTGTGATTTTTTTGCTTACATTTAATCAGCCAGCACTGATTCCATGGCCTCCTCTAACCATAAGGGAATTCAGGTTAGGGTAGGGTTTTTAGACCGAGTACTTTGCCACCCTAAATGGATCTGAGTTCTCTTGATAAGAAAGAAGGGGAGAATGCTTTTATTTTTTATTTTAAAAGTATTTATGTTATCCTGTTTGCCATCAAAAGAAAGTCAGGGTTAATCTATTTCTGTTATGATCTTTCATTTCCTGCTGTATATTATAGTACATGGTAGACATTGAACAAATGTGGTTGATTGATGAATGGATTCACTTAACCAGTAATTATCAAGCATGCTACATGTTGATGTTCTGTGATATTTAAAAAGAAATATATATTCCTGTTCTTGGGGGATTTATAGTTGCAATTTCAGACAGCCATATATATGGAATGATTAGAGAACAAGCCAACTGATAAGAGGAGCATAATTCTTCATGTGTGTTTTGCTTTCTATTTTTCGTGCTGTTAATGTACCTGCTACACTGGATTTTGTTTCAGGGCTATTTTCGTCAAAGTATTTGGTTAAATATTCCCTGTGCAGAAAAACAATTGAGGCATTAGATACTTGGGTTTTCGTAGCATCAGGGTTGTGGATAATCACAGCTTTTTTTGCTTCTCATTTTCTCTCTATAAAACATGTGCCATAGCAATGGCCATCCAGCATAGGCATTGGATAGACAAGAGACACAGAAGACAGTGAGGAGCATGCATGGGCTATGAAGTCAGGCTTCCTGGGTTCCTCTTCCAGGTCTGCCATTTACTAGCTGTGTAACCAAGGGTGTGTGTCCCACTTTCCCCATCTGACAAGTGGGGCAGTAAGTGTCCAAACTAAAGAGGCCAATGTGAAGATGGTGCTAACATATAAAAAGTATTTAGAAAGAGCTTCGCACATTGTAAGCACTCAATATTAGCTACTATTTTATAGTATTCTTCAAAGGTTTATTTAGAAACAAAACAGCATCAGTCTAGAAGTCCAGGCTTGTTTTTCTCCCAAGCATATTTTCACAAGTGTTTCCATTGTCTCGTCCTTTTTCTCCTTCTCTTCCTCTAAAAACATATTTTGCTGTGTCTGCTTGGTCATCTTTCTCAGGGCCAGAGAAAGAATCGCTGAGGGACAAGGGGAGCAGCTGAGTTGGTGGGAGAAGGAGCCCAGTGGTTGAATGCCTCGAACCACTGTGATGAGCTGTTGAGCTGGGTGCCAATCAAAGTGAATCAATGGGGCTTGCCAGGAGAGATGTTAATTTCAGTGGTCACACATGTCCCTGTCTGGACTCTACTTAGGACTCTTGACCCTACCCTACAGTGGTTTGAAATGGATTTTTTTAGGCTTTCATTATATTCTCATATCTTTTTTTCCATTTGGTATCTAAGCTACACGAGAGCCAGTGTAGTGCTTTGTCCTTGGCTAATATTCCATCCAGACCTTTCCTGAATGTCCAGCTCCCTCTCTCTGCTGCACCAAGTCTAAAGAGTGAGGTCAGGGGCTCAGACTCAACTGAGCTTGTTAATCAATGAAGCAATGAGGCCGTTTTGTCGCCTTTCTAACTTTCTTTCTAAAGCAGAATCATAAATAGGATACTCTGTGACCTATGAGTCAAAAAGGGAACAATCAGGCAAATGATTTTTGATTATAATATCTACTGTGAACATAACATATTAATAATGGATGTCAAGGATTTGGCTCAAAGACAATAAAAGGAAAGGCACCACAGGTCTGCTTTCTTTCTCCCTTTCTACAGTACTGATTTCATAACTTATCTTGAGGTAAAGTGGAAATTGCATTTTAAAAAGCGAGTAAAAATTTTCACCAAAAAAGTAACTTGTAAATTTTTATCTTGAATAACTCGACTGATGAAACTGCATTTTGTCTTACACTGTTTGCAAACAAAAAAGGAACAATAATCCACACTAATAAGCACATCTGAGAATGCCTTTAAAACCCCTTTATTTGCCTAATTGGAGAAATTTTCTGGAATGATTGTCAACGGAAAACAGTTATAGCATTTGTGTCTAAATATATCTTCTTGCTTTTGTTCTACCTCCACCTGAGAGTTTTTAAAATTCTTATGTAGAATTGATCTTCCTTTGTTAAGGATACTATTTTTCAGGATAAGCTTTTTTTTTTTTTTTTTTTTTTAAGAAAATAATTTAAAACATTTATACTACCCTAAGCTTCCACAGTTCTTTTTTTCTCTTCTTCTTTTTTCAGTTTTATTGCTTCCACAGTTCTTGTTGAAAGTGTTTTTCTCTTTGGATTTCAAGGTAGTGATGTCTTGTTGGCATGTTTGATGTTGTGGATGTGGATTTCACTTTATTCAAGCAAAGCATTTAGAAAGCTCAAAGAATTTTTCTCATCTTCCTGGGTAGAGGGAAATGTAAACAGTGACAAACAGTTCTTCAGACTGTCCCTGATTTTTTTTTTCTTGTGCTGTTACTTTCCAGAGTTCAAACGCATGGGATTTTAACAAGAGATAATAATCTCACTTGACAGTAAGCCATATCTATTATGACAAAGATTAGTCAATATTTTGTGAAATACCAAATTATCAAGTAGTTTGGATCTGTCAGACCCCTCCCATTTCAATCATTATGCATGAAGTTGATGACCTTCATCCTTGTGACCCCACAAAGATCTTTGTGACACTTATGTGTGAACTTAGAGCATTTTTCTACTCAACCCCAGCACTGCTAACTCTGTTTGAGATAGGGGAGCTGCCTGTGCATTATAGGATATTTAACAGCATCTGTGGCCTCTCCCTACTAGATGCTAGGAGGACCCTTCCGTCTAGTGTGACAACAAACGATGTATTCTGATATGGCCAGATGTTCCAGGGGGCAATATTGCCTCCCATTGAGAACCACTGTTTGACAGCAATCTTCAGTCCGGGAGTATAGTGACAGTTTTTCTCTCCAATGAACAAAATTACTAGGGGATGTTAGGGGTTAGAAACCCCACATTGCTGATGGGGCCACATAGGCACAGGAGTTTATACATGTCCAGTCTGTAATAAGAGAGGGAGACCAAGTCCCACTTCCCCTAGTGCTTGGATCAGTCCGCCCGATAGTGCTTGCTTGATAATTACTGGTTAAATGAATCCATCCATCCATCAACCATATTTGTTGAATGTCTACTGTGTACTATAATATGTAGCAGGAAATGAAAGGTCATAATAGGAATAGATTAATCCTGACTTCCTTTTAATGGCAAGCCTCACTTTGACCAGTCAGGATACTTGCTGGTGATATAAAAATATTTCCCAGAGATTTTCTAATTTTTATGTTTTTAACTGTAGGAGAAGAAGAAATGTCTTTTCCTCTACCCATCCAAGGTTGATGGCTGAGGTCCCCACAACAAAAGACAGATTAACAAGAGAAAAGTATACAAGCATATTTAATACAAGTTTTATGTGACATGAGAGCCTTCATAAAGAAATGAAGATGCCCAAGAAATGGGTAAACTTGAGTATTTTCATGCTAGGTTTGTTGAATAGTGAAGAGTCGTGAAAAAATACAACAGGACAAAAAGTGTGTGAGCTAATGGTAAGGCACTGGGGGAGTTTAGCAAGGCCTGGTGGTTCAGATTCTTTTCTGTGACTCTGGGTCTTCAGAGATAAGGGTGTTTCTTTCCTCCAGGAATAGGGAGGACACCTCTCACAGGAAGCTGTTATCATCTGCTTCAGAGAAGGGTAGTGGTATGATGAGAATGGCCTTTCTGCTTCTGCCATTTTTCTCAAATTCTTTCAGCTGAAAATACTCCAGGATATTCTGTCCTGAACCTCGTATCATAACTTAGACATATAGTAAGTATAAAAAAAGGAAATTTTGCATGTTCTTCAAATGTACCCCAAAACCTAAAATGCAATTAAAAAAAAAAAAAGGAAATTTAAAGTAATGGTTGCAGTAGCAATCAGTAATCAGTCAAGTCCATTAAAAATGAAAATGTAGCCAGGCACAGTGGCTCACACCTGTAACCCCAGCACTTTGGGACGCTGAGGCAGGTGGATTGCTTGAGGTCAGGAGTTGGAGACCATCCTGGCCAACATGGCGAAACCCCGTCTCTACTAAAAATACAAAAATTAGCTGGGAAGAATGGCTCACACCTGTAATCCCAGTTACTTGGGAGGCTGAGGCAGAAGAATTGCTTGAATAGGGTAGGTAGAGGTTGCAGTGAGCTGAGATTGCACCATTGCACTCCAGTCTGGGTGACAGAGCCAGACTTCAATTAAAAAAAAAAAAAAAAAAAGAAAATTGTAAGGAGTTTTATTTCCTTTTTCCCAACCTGTCTTTTAAAAAATTATTATTTGTTATGTGATTATATAGCAACAGCTTCCTTGTTCATAAGGTCCCCTTTGAAAGACTCTATAATATTTACTGTATATCAAATGTTGCATCATCCAATGCTATCTTAGTCTTCCTAGGATACATTTCTTTTGTAGACTCTGAATACTTAACACATATCTTCTGATTTATGGTTATTTTTAAAAATCTTGGTGAGGTAGGAGGAACAAGTATCATTGTCTCTTATTTATGGAGTATCAAAAGGTAAAGAGGGTTTAAATGGATTACTTAATGCCGCAGACTTTATCCAGGAAAAAGGTTTGAGTAAGATCCCAGGTTTTCTGCTTCCTAATTCAATGTGCTTTCCATTAGCCTGTTTTAATCATTTTAAGTGTAGATTTATATAAAAACTTTCTTTATAAAAACTTTAGGTGCTTTAGAGATAACCTGTAATTCAAAGAATGCCTAATACCCTGTGGGATGTGTGACGACGACAGAAGAAAGTGGAAGGAAAGCGTATGGGAAACGAGAAGGAATACATCAGAATTAGTGCTCATAGCGTTGCCGCCTGCCCAAGTGCTATTTAAATTTGCTGAGCTTTGTGGATGTTAAAGGATAAATAAGTGCCTCACAATTCTCAGAGACTGAGCAAAAAAGGATGTAACTTAAAAGTCTACAGGATGCAGACAACTAGTGAAAACTGGTGAAATAAGCTGGGTACATGCCAGGGAGGGGTAGGGATTACGGCAAAGAGTAGTGATGTGCTCTCTCTAAAGGGAAGATCACTCCTCAGTTCCAGTGGAAAGATGGTCCCAGTCATGACAAGTCCTCTGACTTTACTGAGAAACCAAAAATTGGATTTTTTTGTAAAATATTTTGATTAAAAGAACAAACAATGCAGTCCACATTAGTATGTTTACAAGCGATGTATACCCCACAGGGCTGTCTACCCTTGGCATCTTCGATTTTTGACTTTTAACTATTTTCAGATTTATACTACCACTAAGAGTTGATTTGTTGGGTGGAATGTTTCCTTTCACTTGCAAATATTCCTGAAGATGGGCCTTGAAGGTAGCTTGAGTCCCCCCCAGCTCTTTTTTCCTGAGACAGAGTCTTGCTCTGTTATCCAGGCTGGAGTGCAGTGGCCGGATCTCGACTCACTGCAATCTCCACCCTCCAGGTTCAAGTGATTCTCCTGCCTCAGCCTCCTTAGTAGCTGGGGTTACACGCATGCGCCACCACACCCAGCCACTTTTTGTATTTTTGGTAGAGACAGGGTTTTACCATGTTGGCCTGGCTGGTCTTGAACTCCTGACCTTGGGCCATCCACGTGCCTTGGCCTCCCAAAGTGCTAGGATTACAGGCGTGAGCCAGCGTGCCTAGCCGATTCCTCTTTTTACAAACTTACTCCCCAATCTTGTTTCTGTAAAAGGCATTTCCTCTGCTTAGGACTGCTGTCTCCCCACTGTTCACAGCTCCCGTGTAGGTGTGTCCTCTCACAGCATGGGGGCTCGTGATACAGGCATGATGGCAGCAGGGTTCTGTTCAGTGGTTCTGGGAGTTGTCACTCAGGTCCAAGAAAACTGCTTTGCAGTGTCTACCCTTGGCATGGTGACTCATATTGATAGCCTCCTCTTGGTCTGTCATTTCCCTGCAGGAAACCAGAAAGTGATTTTCTATGTACAACTATGAACCATGTTTTTACCTAAAAATATATTTATGAACTGGTCTCTTGCTTCCTTCAAATATAACCTTTTTCCTTAGAATTGAAGAGGACAGTCATGTCTTTAAGATCATGTTCAGATTAGAGATGCAAACATTTTCTGTCCTAGAGTTCTTCTAAGTTTGCTGTCATGAGAAAAACATTTCTTCCCTGAGGAATTGAAATCTGAAAATTCAGGAGCCCAGTAGCACCATGACTTATTTTCCACTTATTTCTTCCAATGACCTATAAAACAGTTGTGGAAATAATACAAACTTGATGCCAAATTAGATGTAAAATATGCAAAGTGTTGTGCTATGTAAACAGTGTGCTTACTATATGCACATATGCGATGCTAAGTGGATCCAATATTCTGCAGAATACTTCGGGAAAATAGAGAACATAAAAATGTCCTGATTTTAAAAACAAAATCATTCTATTAAGAAGTTGGCCACGAGAGGGCAGCATTGTCTACGCAAATACAGAACGGCAACTAAATTTAAACCTGACATTTTCGTGAGGCTCTTTCACCATTTGGTTTCAAACATGAGAAATGATCATAGAGACAGCATCATTGATGCTTAAATTCACAGTTTTTAAAATAAAAACTCTAATCTTTTGGTCTACGTGGCCATTAGGACAAGGCTAATTATCGTGGAACAATGGCACATATTTCTTATATTTCTCTCTTTTCCAGCATGTCTCTTTCATACTGTACACTCTGCTTCTGTAGTTTATTTATTTTGAAAAAAAAAAATCACCCGACTCTTATTATGATTTTGGCCAAGCGAATCCCAGTGAACATCAATTTCTTTATCTACAGAACTGGTTTTTTTTTAATTTTTTTTGGAGGAGTCTTGCTCTGTCGCCCAGGCTGGAAGGCTGGAGTGCAGTGGTGTGATCTTGTTTCACTGCAACCGCCGCCTCCCGGGTTCAAGTGATTCTTCTGCCTCAGCCTCCCTAGTAGCTGGAACTATGGGTGTGTACCATCACACCCAGCTAATTTTTGTATTTTTAGTAGAGATGTGTTTTCACCATGTTGGCCAGGATGGTCTCAATCTCTTGACCTTGTCATCTGCCCGCCTGAGCCTCCCAAAGTGCTGGGATTACAGGCGTGAGCCACGGTGTCTGGCCATCTACAGAACTCTTAAGCAGTCTAAGATAGTGAATAAAAATGGGGCCCTGGCTGTGAGCAGGGGCTGCTTCTGCCTCTTAGAGATTTGCTTTTCCCCATCGATGAACTGAAGGTAATAGCAGCATCTGCCTCTCAATGTGCTGTTGTGAGGATGCACTTTATAATGGTTTTATAAGGTGCCTGGCACATGGAAAGTGCTCAGTAAACATTGCAGGAACAGTGGTGGACTCTTTTTTTTTTTTTTAATTGAATGAGTGGTCAACATTTAAAAATCTGGAGAGCTCACATAAAATTCCTCACTGATCAGTTTTGTCCATTTATGTTACTTGCCTAGCTTCTGTGGCACTGGGGTTGTGGTCCCTCGTGAGCCCTTCTATCTCCCACCATCTGCTTATTGCCTTCCGATGATGATAAAAAACTGCACCATGGCCAGCAAGAACAGCCGTAGGAAGGAAGACTTCAGATTTGTTCTCCAAGTTGCAGAAGATGATTTTGCTCAGTCCTAACAACTCTCTGTAGATTATTTTATCTGAGCAATCCAAAACCCTTAGCGCTGCAGTTTAATCTAATTTGCTTCTTTTGTCATATTTCATTTTGAGGCTGAAGTCTTTGAGAGACTAACAGAGACCATTTCCTATGGGAAATTTGGTTTCATTCATTCCTAGGTGGCAGGTTGGGGGGTCAGGATTGTCAGACTGGGGAGGACATCTGATGCCTGACGGTAGAACAAAAAGCCACCAGGGACAGACTTAGGAGAGTTCCACTGTGACATCCTTTTTCCTTTTTCCCCTTCACTTCCTCAGTCCCCCTACCCCTATGTGTTAAATGAGTTTTCTTATTTTTAATCTTAAAGAAAAAGAATTTGTGTTTATAAAGTAAGATTTAAAAGGTTATTTCCTCCTCACAGTGGGAATCCAGGGAGATAACTTGGCCGCCCCCAGGAGCTCAGGGAGGAACTCAGCAATCCTCTCATCTGTCTTA